TTGCGCTGCACCACCCACAGCTCCAAACACACACCCCATATCCAGTGTAAAACCGAAGGAATAAGACCGGGAGGCATGTGGATGGGAGCCACGTTTCATCAACGGAGCCGGTCCACACTCCTTCACAGGCAAACACAAGCACACTGTATTTGGGGAATCAAGCGCACACAAGGCGGTGGCTGGACCGTAGTCCGCTCCACACTGAGTGCATGGAACCACTCTTCGAGCCTAGCACGGCCACAAGGACCGTGCACCCCGTCCCCTCCAGCAACGACAAACTGTCTCCTGGAGCCAGATGAATGAGGTGGTGGGTAATAGACAGATAGGCACCTTGTCAACATGCACATCAAGCGCAGCCACACCGGGGATATCAAGCAACAGCCAATCACTTCAAATGACATTATCAAATAAAATATATCTGTTAAAGAATACGGGTATGCAGAGATAACTCTACCCTAAATTAGCATATAAAGTAAGTTGCTTAGCAACGAATCCACGCTAAGTACAAAATGTCCAGAAGTCACTCAAAAATGCTACAAACGCAATATAGTTAACGAAGATACCCACAATTAGTGTAAGCAACGTGGCCAGTTAATAGAAGATTATTCAGGTAGGCAGAACAAACCAAATAAAGTGGAATGAAATTTATCCAGCTTAAAAAGACCTAGTTTAAGTGTAAGTTGGTTTAGCCCAACTGCGGTGAAGAAGCATCAAGAATGCAACATCAGCCTCAGCATAGGGCACAAGAGGGATACGTATACATTCCCAATAATAACAGAAATAAAACCATTCCAAATCTTTGACTTACATTCAAGTAAATGATAGCTGATTGACACTGTTGAATAGGCAGATAAGGAGTTACACCAGCGGTGATGGACGTAGGCGATGACACCCTCTCTATGGTTTTGAGGCACTTCGGGGCAGTCGGTTCTGATAGAAAGATAACCAGTAAGTGGAATAACATTGTCCTCTACATCAGCATGTAACCAGCGTTATTGAAGCATCAGAATGCTCGTATTTAATATTCCGTTTCCCGTATAAAAGCGATAACATCCGCCATTTTTCCAAGGAGTGATCGAATATTGTTGGATAAGATCAGTGGACTTTGTGCCTTGTCAACTGGGCGACATCTAAGACTTACTTGCCAGGTAGTATGGTTTTTTCTCCATTTAGAAGAATGTTTCCTCACAACTTGTTTAACACCATTTCGAACTTTGTAAGCATATTGAATAATACGCAGATGTGAAGAAGTATCCCAGAGATATCAAATTGTTGACGGAATAGGATGGGAAGGAAGTCAAAAATTCTCCAGATAGATATAATGACAAAAGTGATATGTGAATTCGATAAATTCACATTAGCTAGAGTAAAAAGGATGTCTGAAGGGGGAAAATAGTCGAGTAATAGTATTCACTCGCAGCCGCAGTTAACCCGACAATATTTGGTAAATTGTTATCTCATTATCCTGGGGGGTTTTGTGACCTGGTACTGGAGAAGCTGCTGAATAGACTATCCCGATGTGAGGTGCAACCCGTGGCGCTGATGCTCCGAGAAAATGGAACTAGACTAGCAACATTTAAGATGTATAAAGTGATCTATTCTAGTGGATGGAGATTCACTGTGCTCCTCCGTTTTCAGTTGAGAGAGTTTGGTCAATGTAGAGTCATCGGTTGGAGTGAACGGATAAGGAGAGTCGCGAGATTTACGCCGAGTCTGTTCAAAATGAAGCACGGATAAGCAGCCAACAAGCGAGTCACGTCTAAGGAAACAAATAATAGATAAGACAATTGTATACATAGTGAAACATGATTCAACATGTCCCCTCGATGATGTACCAGCGTAAACAACAACACGGTACAATGTTCCGCCTGAACGAAACCAGCGGTTGAGTTAATATCTGTGCAGACCTGAATGCCTTGTAGGGAAACCTGTGGAGTTTGGTGTGGGAAAGTTTGTGGGATAGGATACTTGAAGGAGTTGCAATCGGTGCTTACTTGTCCAACAATTCCTACAGGACCTTGGATTGTAAAATTGCAGTTGACAAACCGGCAAAGGTGATCGTTTCAGCGCCTCTCGATCGGCGCATCTCCTACTGCAGACTTCGTAGGCGCCGCCGACACTTCAACCTTTCAGCCTAATAAATGCGCTGAATAACATGCTCTTTAATCTTCTGATTCCGTGATAAATTTCACGAAGCAACCCATTAGATATATTCTACCAGGTTCACTCTTTCCTGTTCCCATTTCTAGGGAGTTACAGGACCGAGTTTATCTCATGAAGTTAAAGGAAGTGAGCCATTTATTGCCGACCGCTAGACTGAGAATGCAAGGGGCTCTGAGTTAAATAATGCGCGCTGCTCCAGTTGAATGACATTTAATGCACGCAAACTGGTCTCTGGGAATACAACACGAACACAAACAGTCTAGCCCATTTGCGCACTTCGGTTGTTGCGCAGTTCTGATTCCCTGCTCCGCCATGCGTCTTACTTCACTACGCATCGGTAATGGCTAAGTTTTCTCGCTAGATGCCCTTCGATCCCAGTGATCTATCATTTGTCTGATTCACCCTTTTCTCGTTTCTTACCATATTCGCCCCAGTAGGAAAATTGTCCCCCGATAAGCTTCATCTGGGCGGCCAACATGGTGTAGGCTCCCGTAATGGTAACAGCGAGCAGTTGCTACAGCAGGGTGAAGATGCTCGTCTCTTTCTCGCGAGCACTAACTTTCGACATAGCAGTTGCAGACGAGTGACGTGGCACCCACCAGTCTCGGACCAGCCATGGACGCAAACCGATCACATCGCGATTAGTTACCGCTGGAGAGGCTGTGTCCAAAACTGTCGCTCGATTTGAAGCACCAATCGTGGACTCCGATCACGCTTTTGTGCGAGTCGACCTTCGGGTGCGTTTCGGTGGACGTTCGCAACGTCGCGCTGAGCGCATTGACACCAGCCAACTGGTGAAGTCACGTGTTCTGAATGTGTATCGAAGTACGCTGACATCCGGGATGAGTAAGCGCCCACTGAACAATGTCGTAGATCACTGGTCGCATATCCGCCAGACGTTACTATTGGCAGGCATGTCTTCATGCGGCAAATCAAATTGCTAACCTAGACATTTGGTCTCTACAAATGCTGGCACTTATGGATGCTGGCCGAAGTATTCCGGATGGAAACGAATACTTTGAGACTCGCAAGGATCTCAGGGCAAAACTGCGTGCTAGCCTGACGAGAGACCACGAATCTTGGTGGTCCCATCGTGCCTCGGAGATGGAAAGAGCAGCTACCGTTGGTAATCATCGTAAGTTATTCCGTCTGATACGGGAAACAGACAGCAGGAGACCTGGTGTTAGTGTGACAATACGCGACGAGAGTTTACAGCCGATCCACAGCCTGTCTAGACGCTTGGAGCTTTTGGCCGCACACTTTGCAAGGCAGTTTAACCAACCTGCATTATCGCTTTCTTTTTCGGGCATTGTGTGCTCTACATTCTGGGCCCTCTCCTTGGATCCGTCCGAACGCGCAGAAGTCGAACGTTAGATCAGGCTGTTGAATTGCCTAAGGCCGCAGAGGCACATAGAATTCCCTTAGCCCTCTTCAAATTCGGGGTACCTGCTCTAGTAAATGATTTACACGATTGCTAGCGAAACTTTGAGAGCAGGAAATTGTCTTGACAAACTGGAGCAGCTCCGTCCTTTTCCCTCAATATCCCCAGCGGTGTGAAACATGGTTTCTCGCTGTCATCATTCCCCTTTAAGTTCGCTATTGACGAAGTCGTGGAAACAGCGTTCGCTGGACACGACCTAGAAGATGTGGAGCTACTTCCTGGTGAGCGACTTATTGATTTGGAGTATGCGGACGACATTGCCCGAATCTGTGACAGCTCGCAAACATGACAAGCAACATTGGACCGATCAGCACTGACTGTCAGTCGTTGTGGGCTATGCTTCGCTTCATCGAAATCAAAGTACTTCTCCAAGATTGGCAGGAACGCACCAATGCGCTAACGGTTTGTGGTGATCTGCTAGAAGTCCTTCAGGAATTCACGTACTTAGGCAGATATATTGGCGTCCGAGGGATCAAAGATGGTTTTACAAACTGTATAGCAAAAGCTCGAGGTGCTTTTGCCCATATCCGCCACCTGTGGCGCAGACGCGACATCACTCTCGCTCTGAAGGACAGAGTTCATAATGAAGCTGTCCGTTCAAACACTCTTTTACGGTTGTACAACCCGGTCCATCAGGTTCATAAAGATAAAATTCTAGTCACGTTCGATCATCGCTGCCTTCGCAGCTTAGCTCATGTCTGGTGGGAGCACCGCGTGAGAAATGCACTTGTTCGGCGTCACGTAATTGAAGCGGGAACAGGTAGTGTACCGCTCAGCACCATTATATTGTGCAACAGGCTCCGATGGCTGGACCACGTGCTGCGCATGCCAGCACACCAACTCCCGCAAGGTGCATTGTTTGCTCACCAGGAATGCGTTTGGAAGAGAAAAAGGGGTTGCCATGTGATGACTTGGTCGAGAGAAATGAAACCTCTTACTTCGAACTTGGCATCGTTTGGTGCATCCCGACTGCCTGGCTGGGATCCGCAGGAGGATGAACTCATTTGGTTGGACACACTTGCTGATATGACTAGGAGCGGACTCCAATGACGTTTGTGTTGTGAGTTCCTTTGTCCATCCCCATCCCTTTTATATTCCTCCACCAATTCCGATTCCACACGAATTGCATAATATAATATTTAACATTATATTACCTGCTGCTGAAGTTTTGATGATATAAATTTTTGTATCTTATATTGTTGTATTGCGGCACATTAGGTGAGGTGTTTCTCACCCACAACTAGCGTGTGTTGATGAGGATGATGTTTCTTCCTATACTACTTCTTAGTAGTATTCCAGTAAGTGAGCTGAATGTTACTTACGTAACTACCCTACCTGGTGATCCCAATGTGTTAGTGCGTGTGCAGTGTCTTTTTGTCTTCTTTGTATTCTTCAGACAAAGCCGACTTGGAATTGCGCATCGATGGTCCTTCTGACAAGTATCTTCCTATCAATCGAAATAGCACCTTCCGATGCACCTTACAAGGGCCCATGCTCGACGATGTAATGGCGAACGAGACAGGGCCCACTTGGTACACCAGGGGAAGGCGACGAATCACCGTTTACGCAAACGAGCTGCGGATAAACCCGGATACTTCGGTGGGTAAACACACTCACGAATGCCGTTACGTACGCCCATGGTTGAAGCTGGAAAAATCGTTGTCTTTCTACGCCGTTGGTAAGCGAAGTAATTCCTTGGAACTGAATTGTGGTGCAATGTTCAACTTGTATGCAACAGAGTAACAGCTCAGTTTGGAGGTATTTTCCTACACAACATGCTGAAGAATTAGATAAACTCCCATGTTAGGCACATTTGCTTGTGATAGGTACACATCTTCACGCAAAACACTTGGTTGTAATGGCTTTCCTAATCGAAACAAACGAACGACTTGCGCGTTATAAAGCCGCATGGAAATATTGGCGACGGAACTCGATTCGTATGACCTGTAAGACTTAATCGTCAAGCACTTTCTACACGCATGCTGAATCGAGCAGACGCATACTTCACGAGCGTCGACACGACCCCGAGGGGGAAAAAGGTGAGGAACCTACTTAACAGTAGGGGCCTTCACTGGCCCAGCAAAGAGCGATTACAGCGTTGCCCAGCTGCACCTAGATACCGAGGTTGATGCCGTGTGTAATTTTTCTTAAGGAAAGTCTGTGTAAATTAAATCAGGAAGCGCGACGTAAACAAGTGGATTCGCATGCTGCTGGTTTAAGTGGAAGATTTCGGGCGGTTAATATTTGTAATTACAGATTATACTTAGAAAAAGTGGATTCTTGTGAATGCGGAAACTGGTTCGATCATGTACACTGTTATAAAGGTGAGTGGTTTCGCTCGCGCCACGTTATGGAGACATGCGTCCCTCATAACAACCGTGTAGGTATCCTCTAGAATTCCCCTTCACGCGTCGTTATTTTGCCAATGTACTCCATGATTGAACTACCGATGGCACACGTAGGCCCTTCAACTGACTCAGCTTCGCGGTGCGTACGTTAGGAGCCGTTGAGAAACCCCTTTTCGCTTTGCACGCACCGATGACAGCCACACAGACTTCGGGCAGCAACATGCAACACAACCATGCCCCGCGGCGTCATGACCAGATCTGTTTGATTTGGAACAAGATACATTACAGAGTGGACCGGATAGGGAGCAAAACCTAACGAGGCAGCTGACATCAAAAGAATATAAGCGGGTCCTGCAAAAATAATTCGGTAACCTTGTCACCTAGCCTTGAAAAAAGCTTCTTCCTCCCTGCAAATATAAACCGGCATGCCCAGCTGAAAAATTCTTGGCTCGTAATCACTAATTACCGGTAATCCGCGTTCAAGATACAGCAGATCTCACAGTTTGTACTAACCACTGAATTATGCTAATGACGAAATAATCAGGGAGACTTCCCGTAAAACAGACAGATGTTAATGTCATATGCTTCAATAGGTATTCCTATATTTTACTGCCGCTTTCTACTACCCACAGCTTGACCAAAGGTAGTAAGTGTGCTGGGATTGTGTAAGCACAAGTACCATACGGATGTACATGACGAATCAGGCGGTTGCTTACCGCAAGCGAACATGGCAGTTGATTGGACGCCTATGCATAGTTCGCCTACGCGCTGATTGGTTCTTATTTGGCTACGGTGGAGCGGGTTTGTTTAACTGATTCAAAGGAAGAATCTCATGAATGTAGAACCGTCGTTAATTATGGAAATGACCCAGTCATTTACATCGAGGCTTCTACACGTTTGTTATGCTGCCATTTTTGTTTTGTCGAACAGACCGTTTGTCCCAGAAGGACCAAGTTTTGCTACAGTAAAGTGGATCTACAGATACCAATCCAATCTTTGCGGAGCGTTTCGTAACTGCTCACTAAGCTTATTGTGCAATTTTCTCGACATTAAACGAACGCCGGGCCAACCTCTAGGTCCTAACTGTAGTCCGGGTCATTTCACCGCTCAGCCAACCTGTCTCAGTGTTCAACTTCCCTTTTTTCTCGAATCACTCTTTGCACGTCCTCAAGCATTGGTTAATTACTTCCCGCGCCAGACGACTGACACTCGTTTGCAATTCTCTAACTTCAAAATTCAGATAGCGCCCGTGCAACTACACAGCTGATCTTTCGTTCCTCTGAGAGAAAATTGGTTTATCGTGAAGGTGAACCACTACCGACCATCATTTGTGTCAGATCAAAACCCTCCACTGCAGCTTCCAACGCCACGAAGTGGAAGATAATAGCGGGTGAAGTGGTTCACAGTTTCGTGCGAGATCACGGTGCTCCAGCGATACATATTATGCCGAACCGCACTGGACTGGTTACGGTACAGTGTGTCTTGCGAGACTCAACACATTGCTCGTCTAAATTGGTCGTCTTTTTGTACACAAGTGAGTGACGTTGTCTTTGTGTTGCACAATGGAAGTCCGATTTAATGCTTTAGCTCAAACATCTGACTATCTGCCTGCGCATGTGGTAGTTGCCTATTTCATGTATACTGCTTGGTCGTGACGAAGTTCCAAACTGAAAGTTTGCGCACAGTAAGCGCTGTACATGAACACTGGGATTCAGGTGGATGAAAAGAGTTAGTTCCGTTGACCATTACTTATGTGTTAACTAGCACCAGCAGTATGCCGACACGCAGTACCGGCGCTTTGCTACCGCGCAACCAACATCGGTCGCAGGTGGGCTGTGTATACTGCGAGAATCGCTTGGCCCCTACGCAGGTTAGAACCCTCGCCCTCAGATTACAATGCAGACTTGTTATCTTTAGGCTAAGGGTTATGTTATCCTTGAATAAGGATAGGCGAATGGGCACCGGCATCTTACTCTGATTCCCTGTGTGGTCATTTGAACCAACCACTAACACCTTCAGTTCATCAAACCTGTGCCTAAGTCAAAACAAAAGCCTCTGCTGGAACTCTAAAATTGATACAGGAGTCGAAGATGCCTAGCGTGCAGAGGCGGAATAGTATGGAGAAATTGATCGGCGGGTTTTGGTGCACATACCGTCTCTCTGGGCTGCACCTCCCAATCT